TCTCTCTCGGTCCACCTCGCGTTGCGGGTGTGCTTTCTTCCGTATTTTCCGAGCGGCGACTTTCCTCGCATCAATCTATCTCTGCAGAGCTCGTTTCTTGCCTGTGGTGTTTTGACGAGGAGGGTGCAGCTCTCCCTCCCCGCGGTGCCCGCGGTTGTCTCCCTTCTCCCGCGAGCGGTGCTTACTGACGTGGTGTTTACGAATCTCCCTACTCCTCCAGCTTCGTGGGCCACGCTTTCCGCGACGGTGGTTGCCAGGTGCAGTTTGCCGCTTTGCATTTCTGCCGCGGGAACATTGTCCATACACACCTCTCGCCACCACCACCGTCTGTGCATCCTCACCACCTCGCTGAGCCAGCGCGGCGGTGAGTTGCACCTTGGGACACCACCCGCCTACTATCTGTTGTGGCCTGGTTCGCCCGCGAGGGACTCACTAGGTCGATTTCGGCCCCGGCTGGAGAGCAGGCCGAGGGGAAGGTTTTGTATTTAAGTCCATTTATATGATTTTAGAGGCATGTTGGGTGCCGGGCAGGCTTTGTAGCCCGCTGTGCGCAGAAAAGCCAAGGTTGGTTGTGGACTTATTATTAAACCTTCCAGTGATCAGGTTCGGGGGTTCGAATCCCGGCGCGAGCGAGCTTTTCTGGCAAGGTATGTTTTTTTCTCGCTTCTGACTGGCCTGGCTGGGTGGAAAGCGCTAGTTCGNTGCAGGCCGAGGGGGGTGTAAACCTTTCTGACCCATAGCCCCTTGGAATTGTCTACTCTGTGTACCCCCTGAGATGAAGTTGGATCCCCACTTCATCCCAGACCCTTGCTGATCGTCTCTCAGCTATATCAAGCAACTTTCCCATCTCAACGTGGTCGTGGACAAGCGTGTCAACGATAGAACCTTCATCTATCTCTAGGAGCAAGCTACCGCACACGGCATTGCTCCTTAAAACTTGGCGTCAGCGGCAGGATTTGGACACCTCCCACTTGCGGGCTTGTGTTCAGAGTTTAGCACTGTGGACTGTGCTAGGAAACAGCAGCGTGATGCTATGCGTTTTTTGTCTCGGGGTTCTCCTTCCCCACCCCCGCCGGACTTGCTCACTCTCTGTGCTCCTCTTCGCTCCCCCCGGTTGGATGATGTGCTTGTCTTGGCGGCGAAAACCAGACTGCACACGACCGATGACAACATCACCCTCCTCGTACATAAATCGGCGACGTCGCCGGTTGGGCGCTCTGGCGGCAGGACCACTCGTCTGCCGGATACTGGCGTGCCCTGTGTCTACGTGCCAATGCTGATACGTCCTTGGGTCCTTCATGCATGCCATACCACCGCGTCGTTCCACCTCGGCGTCCATCGTATACAGCGTCTGCTCGAGCGCTTCTGCTGGTGGCTTGGTTTGGATCGTTCCGTGCGCTGGTGGCTTCGGGCATGTTTGGTGTGTCAAGCTCGCAAGAATTCACGTCAGACTGCTCGGTGGCCCGTGATCGCTATGCCATTGGTGCAGGGGCCTGGTACGGTCGTCGGCGTCGACTTCTTCGGACCTCTGCCAGTGACTGCCAAGTGCAACTCCTACATTTTGTTGTTCACAGACCGTTTCAGTCGGAGAGCCGACATGTTCGCAGTCACAGCGGCGGAATTTACGGCGAGAGGGACGACTCACATCTTCGTCAACCAATAATTGACCAAGCGGGGATGTCCGACTACGTTATTGTCGGACAACGGACTGCATTTCTGCTCGAAGCTCTCCATGGCGATCTACGAGGTGATGAAGATCAAGAAGGTCACCACCAGCTCCTACCACCCACAGACCAACGGCGGCACTGAACGCGTCAACCACACGATGGCCCAGATGCTTGCGGTGGTCGTCAACGAACAGCAAAACGATTGGGACATACATCTGCCGCACGTTGAGTTTTCCTACAACAATTCCGTGAAGCAGTCTACTGGATTAGCGCCAAACGAGATTCACATCGGACGCATCCCGCGACTCCCGCTTTCGGTCTTCGATCATCCCACGGTAGGTGGTCATCAAAGCTTGGCCCGCGATCAACTAAAGTATTGCAACCTGGCTGTCGATCGCCAGCGCCGGGCCTATGAACTTGTCCGTGAGTACAACGCGCTGAAGATTTCGCGAGTCGAACGCCGAAATTCATCCCTGCTGAACGACATTGGCAAGCTCCCTCAGCTTACCGTTGGCGCGTGGGCTTGGGTGTACAACACGGCTGCTAAAATTCGACAGGGCGTGTGGAAGGACACGGACCAACAGGTGCTCAAGGCCAAATTCGCACTTTTCTGGACGGGGCCCTACAAAGTTCTTGCGGTGGGTCCCACCTCTGCCGACGCCACTCCGGACGGCCGCCCGTTGGCGCATAAACTCCTCTACCTGGACCTGCCTTCCGATCTTTCCGGCCCGGCAGCTCGTTGTCGCGTGTCTGTCCTTCGTTGCAAGCCCTGTCGCAATCCGTACGAGACGGACGACTTGCCGCAATCTCTGCCCGCCGAGCTTTCGCGTTATGTTCTGCACTCTTTCGGACATAAATGTCCACCTTTCCACGTCACCGCGGATGATGTGTCGGTGCCTGTCGGGCGCCTCGAGGTCGACTACATCTCGGGACATCAACTGGTGCGGGGCCGTAGCGGCGTTCTCGCTGTCCTGTACGAGACGCATTGGGTAGGCCGGACTACTCCTTCATGGGAACGGGAATCCGACCTTGATCTATTCCGTCGACACATTCTCTTGTACTGGTCCCGGGAGGCCTGCCAAAGCAAGCAGGGTAACCGTACATATCGAGTGGCTCGGACTCGCGCGGCACAGCGGGAGCTAGCCCGGAATCGTGGAGAACGCTATTTGCCTCCTGGGGCTGATCTTGTGCTTGACGCGACTTGGCTTCGCCGTTTCAGCACTTCGCCCCTCCCTGTTGGCGCGCGGCTGTGGTACAAGGCCCGTGATGGATTGCGGTGGACCGGACGCATTGGTGCTCATCAGGGCGGCTCGTACATCGTTCGAGTTTTGGACGACCCGGGCCCAAGCGTTCTCCCTCTGCCGGCGCATCTCTACTCCACCGCCTTGGACGCCGTCTGTGCATCATGGTGTTTAGAGAAACATCGTTCGCGCCCTCTGGGCAACAACCGTGGTCGCACTCCGCTCCTTACTGACTCCTTACCGTCGGCTGTTCCCACTATTTCTTCTTAGCGTCGTCGTTTTCATATACCAATCATCGGCCTAATTTGGTCTTTTGTGCCATCCTTCTCGCCGACGTTTTGCTTTTTTTTTCTGTCACCTTCCGTTTTTCATATTTTTTATTTTCTAAATATCACACAACAAATCCATCTCATCTATAAAAATAAGTCTAAGATAGATTCGCAATGAATCCATAGCGTGAGCGAAAGGCTACCTGTATGTCTACGGTTCCCCAGACAGCATTCAACGATAACTCCCCTGTGGGTAACAGGCTCAAAAAGGCAGTTTGGTAGACATCTTGTTGTCTGTTTGTTTTTGTTTTTCTCCCATCATTGGACTCTGTCGTCTGCCCCTCTGGCCCCTATCCTCCACTTCTACTAGGTAGACGACCCAACCGGGGTCACATAGGAGGGGGGGGTTGGACCCCCTCCTGCGGTTCATGCCTGAGGTATTTTTGTCGCGAGGAGGGTACAGCAATTTCTTCCCTCGCGACTTACGAAGTCGATTATGGTTTACTAACAAACGAGCTTTGCAGCGGGTCGCTTTCATCCTAGACCAGGATTTATTTAATGAGAAAAAACTCTCTCTGCCGGGACTCGAACCCATGACCTGGCCTTAGCAGGCTGCGAGGCTACCCACTANGAGGGTACAGCAATTTCTTCCCTCGCGACTTACGAAGTCGATTATGGTTTACTAACAAACGAGCTTTGCAGCGGGTCGCTTTCATCCTAGACCAGGATTTATTTAATGAGAAAAAACTCTCTCTGCCGGGACTCGAACCCATGACCTGGCCTTAGCAGGCTGCGAGGCTACCCACTAGACCACCGGGGCGACCGTGTATCTATCTGTATGTTATGTTGGGAAGTTGTAGACGGAAGATTTAGGGGAACTCGATCTGTCGGGTGTTCTATTATAGCACCCTTATGTGTTTTTTTTTTTTTCTGTCTTGTCTCTTTTCTTTCGTTGGCTTATTTTTGTTTTGGACGCTGGAGCAACGCCGCCTCAAGACACGCAGTGTCAAGTGATCCTTCTCCCTTGTTGCCTGCATTCATCTGAATCTGTCAACTGCCGCGACCTGGATGTCCGTTCTCTCTCGCCTTCGCTTAATTTGTTTTTGTTGTTGTTGGTCTTTGCTTCTCTCGACAAGCTCCCTCAGAAGTTTCGTCGGTGTTGTCTGCCTCTGAACATTTGGAAAAAGAGTTCCCCAAGCTTCGTCGGTGATGTTTGCCTCGGGACACTTGGACACCGAGTCCCCCGCGTTTTCCAGCTTCGCCTGTTCGCCAACAAAAGTTGTCTTAATTTTTTCTCTTTTTTTTTCCATCGCGCCGCCGAAGTGTTCCATACGCTTGGTGCTTCGGGATTCCATCCCGTGGCGTCGCCATCTCCCATGGATTTTCGTCGTCCCCCACACGTCGTTCTGCTTCGTCTCCATCATCGCCAACTTCGGGCGACGCCTTCATCACAGTAGCGCCCCTGAGTCGTCGTCTTGTGTGAATCTCTACGACTTTCTGTGTTTTATGTCTTTGAATGGTGCGTATCGCCAGCGAGCCATGGTGCAGTTCGTCGACCGCCTCTGTTGCATTAATCGCTTGTGCTTTGCATCCTTGGTCCTCATTAGATCTTGCCCCTGCCGTCTCCTTATTTGGGTTGGGTACCCTGGCACGCTGGCCATCGTTCTCCGTACCTTTGCCTGTCATTCTTTTCTCCTGCCCTTCGTTAACGTCCTAGATTGCGTTGAGTTGCGTCGCGTCCACTATCAAAGGCCGTATTCGTTCGGAAATTTGTTTGGGTTTTGAGTTTCGTCACCGTATTTTGGACTCGCTCAGTTAGTCACCCTCATTCCTCCAGCGGTGAAACGCGCGGGTGCGCGTAAAAGAGTGGTGTGTGGCGTCTGGATATTGATTTTTTTCCCTGTCGTCGTCTGTTCAGGATGATAGCGTGCTCTGCCGCAATATTTTTTCTTCGTAGCTCTTTCCCTTCAAGCGTTGTCATTGAGATGTCGATGTTCCGTCTCGTGACCGTTCGCATTCTTCATCTCAATGATGGTGTGGGGGATTGATTCGGAATATTTCTACAACTCACCCTCCGTTTGGATGTTTTGTGAAGAGTCATATCTTCGATTCATGATCATAAATCATCAGCTAAATCTTACTGTAGCTTTAGGATTTGAGCATTGATTTGAGTACAGTATCTGCATATATGATATTCAGGGTGGGCTGGTGTTGAGGAGTGTGGCTGCTAAAGTGGTAATTTTCAAGGACCCGATTTTGGTTGTCCCTCCATAACTATTGACTGAGAGCGAGTAGGAGAAAAAGAAAAACAGCTCCGGAACGCCCGCGGCAAGGCGCAAAAGAGTAGCGAGTCGCCAAAAAAAAGGAAAAAAAGAGAAAAAAAAAAAGAAAAAAGATGCTCGCGGCGGGTCTCGAACCCACGAAATTGGCGCTAGAGCAACTTTTCCCCCATATATGTTGCTAATCTTTTTTTTTTTTCGCACCAACCACTCACACGCGCACAGGAACGCCCTCAAACACTATGCAAATGCCTCTACCGCACCTATAGCGTACATACATCACAAATATTGGCCGTTTTCAACAAAAATGTTCCANTCCATATATGTTGCTAGTCCTTTTTCTTTTTTTCGCACCAAACCACCCACACGTGCACAGGAACGCCCTCAAACANGAAAAAAAGAGAAAAAAAAAAAGAAAAAAGATGCTCGCGGCGGGTCTCGAACCCACGAAATTGGCCCTAGAGCAACTTTTCCCCGATATATGTTGCTAATCCTTTTTTTTTTTTTCGCACCAAACCACCCACATGTGCACAGGAACGCCCTCAAACACTATGCAAATGCCTCTACCGCACCTATAGCGTACATACATCACAAAAATTGGCCGTTTTCAACAAAAATGTTCCATTTTTATACAACATTCCCACCAGAAACACGGAAAAAAATTGAACAAATACAGTTCAATGAACAAGAATGCGCCATCGACTCTACGGCCTCCATTCCTTCGGGGTCGGGCGCCTGTGCGACTTGTACTTCTTGTACGTCTTCTTGCCCTCAGGCCCTTGCACACGCGTCTCGCGGTACATGAGGGCGTGTGTGTACGCCTTCTTGCAGTAGCCCTGGACTACCGAAACAGCCTGTCTATCCTTCTCTGGTCTAAAACTCAGCGGCACGTTCTTGCGTAAGCATTCCAACGAATACTTGCAGTTCTTTCGAGTCCAGTCCTTCGCTCGGCCCCAAACAAGCTCGATGGGGTTACACTCGCAGTGGTACTTAGGAAGCATGAGACAGGCCCCCCCGTGGCGCTGCATCAACAGCACCAGACTAGAATCAACTTCCTTGAAGTCCTTCTGCTCTCCCAAAACGTGCTCCATGCTCTTGCTGAGGTCCTGCTTTTCGCCCGAGCCCCCCGTCTTACTCATGCCTTTGACCAGGAGCCCCCTCTCCCACAAAATCTGCCGCATTCCTTTCAACTTTCCGACATATTGCGCCGGCTTGAGATGCGGGGAGTGGAAGGGGGGATCGTCCCCCCTCCGAAACACCAAGTGCTGTACCGTGCCGGCTGGGAGGTTCGGGGTATCTTCGAGGATGGTCACGGGGTCCATCGGCGCAAGCTCTTCTCCGTTCCTCACACCACCGACACCCAAGTTCATTCTCTTCACCGACGGTGCGCCGACCTCCATGCAGTCATGACAGGACGACCAGTCGAACAGGCCTACAGGCTTGTGCTCAGGGTAGAGAACTGTGAACATGTCGAGCACGTCTGACATGTGGTCCAGCATCCTGAGCCCGGTCCAGTATCCCTCCTTGTTCTTGCCGTACTCGAAGAGGTGGTAGGACCAGTACTGTCCATGCTCGTCTTCATGAAGCATGTCGATGGGGCGGAACTTCTCCACCTTCACGTTTTCCCCCCGTCGCTTTGCGGCAGCTGAGGCGGCGCATCGTTTCCTGCGGTTGCGCTCCGCGTCCTGGATCTGTGCCCGCGACGCCGAGAAGAAGCCAACGTTGTGGATTATCGTCCCCGACACCATGATCCCCTGGCCTTGTGACTTCTTCACGGGCACATGCTGGCCGTCCCGATACCACGCGCGCCTCTGGTCGTCGTTGGCTGCAAATACAAACAAGAAACCGACAATTTAGGGGCGGCAGATGTGGCGCTGTCAACATGTGTGATTTAAATTTAAAGTCCCACAATTGCATTGCGAGCAAGATTACTGTTCGCGCCCGGAATTTACACCTAAATTATCGAACCCGCTTTGCTCCGTTTAAAACTAACCTCGAAATATGCTCT